TTGGTATTGATCCGATGAACGAAGATTCACTAATCAATTCCCTCTCTCTCTCTCTCCACCTGATCATATTGTTGGACTTGAGTATAGTAGTTTTATCCAACTCACCTTATTGTGTAATTGTATGTTGCTGATGCATGCATTGCAATAGCTGAGTATCCTTCTAGATTATTGATTATATTCGGGCTTGTCATTCTATATTCAGCTGAATTCTTATGTTCAGCTAATCTAGGCGATCTCAATCGGCTAGTTTGACCTATATACTTGACCTGACTCACAGTGATTATACGGAATTTGATAGATTAGACTATTTTGCTTAATTGGTTCTATCGGATCGTTAAACCAGCCGATAAAGCTTATCTCTGAGTGAGTTTGTAGGTTTCAAAATACCATCCTAATTCCAGATTTGTTGAGAATCCTACATAAAACTTCTGATGTACCTTCCTTCCTTATAGGGTAACACAGTGGAGGTTGTGAACTACTTTCTACTTGTGTTACTGTTGTCTTTTCGTTTCTTGTGTATTCATACAAACTTCTTCATAAACTATAGAGCAGAATTATTAAGTAGTACCGCTTATTTTATGCGCTTCAATTCCTGATTTAGGTCGTTGCACTGACTAGTTAGTTTTCTAGCTTCATCAATCAGACATTTGACTAGACCTGCGTTAACTGACATTGGATGAAATGACTTGAAGTCTTGATACGTGTTATAAGGTGTCGGTTTTCTGTAGATGGTAGTATCCAAACCACCGACGTCTGTCCTTCGTTTAATTCTGCAATCTAACATGGGTCATTCTACTTGTTCATATTCTACCTGTTCGTAAGTGAATTGGATTACGTCTACTACTGAGTTTATGTTATACGTGAGTAAATTGTCGATATATTCCGATTTCAGCACAGTAGTAAATGTGTCATCCTCATATCGCCACCATATCTTAGATACAGGATTAAACGTTTGTAAAGTCAAGTTTTCTCAACTATCTATAAATATATTTGTTAAGATTTGGTATGTTGGTCATCGCATTGCGATGAAACTTGAAGACTGTAGAGGTCAGTCACAAATGTACACGTAATACGGAAAGAGAGAGAGAGAGAGCGAGAGATTAATTACTCAATTTTTATTCATCGAATCAGCCAACACTCAAACCTATACCAAAGATATGGGGAATTTTACTACCAATGAAAACAAATTATATGAAGTGACAGGAAGGAACTCTGGCGTGGCAATGAACCAACCAAGAACCTATCGCTTAACAAATATGCAGAAAAAAGTGGAGATAAATTGGACATGCACTGAGAAGACCGACTGGGGAAATCATGTGCCAGGCCAATTCCTTGAGTGGAACCCGGATGCGGAACGGCGAGTTGGGCGTCCCAGCTGAGGGTGACATGGAGGAGATGGTGTGAGGAAGAAATGAGAGATTGTGGGCAGTCGTGGAGCCATGTTCAAAAGATTGCAGAGAACAGAGTGTAATGGAGACGTGATACTGAAGCCCTAGAAAAAGCAAATGTCGAAAGTTGTGTGTATGTGTGTGTGTGTGATTACATTGAGATATGATTACGAGCAATGATAATCTATGCTCGAAACGTCATCAAGTGAATAAGGTAATACTGTATCACCCTGTGTGTTGTAAATCAAATAAACAAATCTATCTAATATGGAATTAAATTCTACCATAGTGCCCAATTTTTACAGGTTGGATAACTGGAAGGTAATGGTTAGTTAAAGGTGATGGTCAATGGTATACACCAATGATGTCTAGGTTTCAAAGTTTCTTGAGCCGATATAAACTTACTGTCCAAAACAAATGTACCGAGATACACTACTCCTGTTTGATAAAGTTCTACTTGTACTTAGCAATCCTTTTCACATAGTTTTTGAATCTGATAAGAAATTAAATCAAGCATGAAGAAGGGGTTTACAGTTGATATTTGTAAGTTAAACTGTTCAGCAATTTCTTATTACCTGAACAGACTCGAAAACAATCAGTTTTACGTATTCAGACAGCATTTGATTTACTTAATGTTACCATATATTCCATTCAGTCTTATCAGTGCCATCCTTCTTTCATGACTAGTAGTCAGCTGAGATTGTCATCAGTCTAGCCACTGAATGTATTCACATATGTAGTAGTAGTAGTAGTGGTAGTGTGAGTAGTAGTATTCTGAGTCGTAGTAGTACTGTTTTGGGTGCTAGTGATAAGAAAGGATATAAGTAGTATATTTTGAGAGGTCGTTATATGTTGTAGGCAATTACTAGCAACACGTAAAGATTGTGTTCAGAGAAATACAAGATGCAATGTGGGCGTATGAAGACCAAATCAAGACGGGAGATGAAGAGAAAATGAAATGCATTGTTTAAATGAGTAGTTTAATGTAAAGTGTAAAATATTTCATCAGTACTGTACAAAATGTCATAGTAAGCATTCTTTCATACTTTTCAATCGTTGTTGTGTCTTACTATTGGTGCCCCTACTTCGGGACTTGATAAAGATTCTCTGGCCTGCATTCTTTAAGGATGGAGACATCAGGGTCTTTTTCAAAGACTGTCGCCATTTCACTCTCTTCTCTCCAGTCTTTTCAACCTGCCTCCACAACTCCCCATAACATTTCATTACTTCCTCACACCATCTCATCCATGTCACACCAACCTCGGATACCCAATCAATTCATCCTTCCCTATTCCGGTTCAACTCGACGACCTGGCCTCACGCATGATGTCCCCAAACCATCTTCTCACTCTATGTCCAATCCAATCCAATCCAACCCACCTCCAATTTCTTCTTCCGCATATTTATTCACTGATTGGTTCTTGCTTGGTTCGTTGGTTTGTTGCCAGATCAGAGGTCCTCCTTCCTTATTCTTATTATTCTCGCCATCTCATCTCCATCTTCATTATCGAGCAACAAGAGGCGGTAGCTGTTCATGTATGATGTCTACAGTTTGTTGGAAATGCATTTCATAACACGCCAACTCTCTCAACCAACACATAGAAGCACAGACTCGACTGACATTAGTGGTACTAAAAATCCGGATCTCGTTCATGCTTTATGCTGAGTGCAGTGCAGTGCAGCACAGTAGATCTCCATAATGATTTCAGATTGATGAAGGAAGGCCTGTATTGCTGCCTATCCAATCCTAGCTTTGATGTCCTCATCTGTGCCTGTGCCGCCTCCTGTAGTTGAGACGATGCTGCCTTCTAGGTAGGTAAGTAGGTTAGTGAAAGAGAAAACTTCCTTCACATTTCTCTCATTCATGGTGATTAGTGCTTGTTGTTGCTGTTGTTGTTGGTCTGGTATCTTCATCACCTCTGTCCGTCTTCTCCACATTCACTTGAGGTCCCGTTTTCGCTGCCTATTCTGTCAACTTGTTAGTTTTCGCCTGTACATCTTCAAGTTTATGCTACATTAGACATCAGAAATAAATCATCATGGACGAAATGCAAATCTTCTAGCGTCTTTCATCGGTTAAACAGCCAGCGTATGCCCATCTTCTCGTTCCTCAAAGTTTGTTGCGTAATCCAGTCGACCACAACTAGGAAGATCATCGGTGATAGTAGACAGCTTTATCATACTCTTTCCTGTCTGTACTTCACTTCAACTTCACTACTCAGCTTTCCATTATGAATCACTTGGCATCATCATCATCATCACATAGCTGTTGAATGAGGTTGATAAATGTTTGTGAAGGTAAAACCGTAGTGTTGTAGCAACAGCTACCAAATTACTTGTCAGTCGACTCTATCGAAGGTCTTTTCAAAATCGATGAGATAAAGGTAAAGAGTTGACTGCCATTCTATGCTGTGTTCTATGATGATGAGTAGCATTACAATTTGATCCACATATGATTTGTTTTTCCTCAAGTCAACTAGTCAACCTGTTCCGGTCATAATTTTGAATCCAGAATGATACAGCTTAATATTTTGCTTGAGATGGAATAGCCTTTACTTTGTTAACTTTCAATAAACTAAAGATGATTCCAGTCTTCTTCACTTTGTCACGTTTCGTTCATTATGAATCGCATTGTTCATCTTAATATTGAAAAATTCAAGGATAAAAATAATGTCTACAATGAGTGCCTTTCAGTTACCTATTTCTCCTCAACATCAACACTTTTATCACTTATACTATGAGATTCGATAACGTTTCTACAATCCTACATATTGAAATAGCCCTAAAAAAGTTAGGACTTTTATAAACAAAAAGAAAGCAGCATTTATTATGGTGACTAAAATGTCCCACTTCACTATTAGACTTAATGTTCATTGAACAAAGTTGACTACTTAAATAACACTAGTAGTATTATATACTTTCAGACATTTTTCGGCCTTTAATCTATGAACTTTTGTCTGAGTTACCCTTTAACTGGTCATGATTGAAATCATATTTAATTTATATATCTTACAAAAACTATGAACATATATTCATTAGATTGATAAAAGAATATCGGATGAAACGAAAAATAAAATACCTTGTGGAGTGGTTGATGGTGGATGAATTTGTACGAAACGCCGATAAGGATTGACTGTTTATAAACTAATTGAAACTGCCTTTTATAAATACTTATAGTGTGCTGATTTACCTAAGTGTGATTCGATTGGTCACTTGGTGAATCCGTGAGTGTATACTAATGCTGATTGGCTCATGTCTAACTACCCTGGTGAGACCAAGGTCAGGAAGTGAACCAATCAACCTTAGCATACGTCTACTCAATTACCAGGCAACCAATCAAATCATACCCATGCAAAACCAATTACTTCACTTCTATATGTGAAGCTCTAATGCAAACGGGTTACTTGACTTTGCAATGCAGTGATGATGGTGATCAGCTAGAAGGTGTACAAGACTGTTGAATGGGTTTCCGTTTCATGCTATTAACAAAATTAGTGGTTTCACATGAAAAAAATAATTTAAGCTCAAGTCTCGAACATCACTAATTCCTGTTATTCTCCTTTCTATCATCGTTATTATTATTATTATTATTTGTTGTTGTTGTTGTTGTAGAAGAACGTAAATTATTTGTCGGCATGTTGAGTAAACAGCAAAATGAAGATGATATCAGGTCGTTATTCGAACCATTTGGTACAATTGAAGAGTGTACAATACTTAGAGATCAAAGTGGAAACAGTAAAGGTAGGCGAATTTCATAATTTACTTTGTGTTTAATAAGGATTTTATCTTTAAGTATTTATCACGGCCTGACATCAACTGGAGAAGCATTGATAAACTGTTTCGTCCCACAGTGGAACTCCTCAGCGTCATGTTCCCACGACCCCGCTCCATTAGGGGTCGAACTGAGGACCTTCAGGTTTTCGGGCGAAGGCGCTAACAATCCAGTCACTAGGTCACAGTTCAGTGGTTCACTGTTTCCCGTTTCTTTCGTCGAATCTCGACATAGGGCTATTATGAACCAAGGTATTCAATCGGCATCCGTTTCTCATTTGACTAGTTGACCCCACCACCGGTCAAGGCTTCTCATTAGAGCCTCGGGATATCCATCTGGAGGTATGTCACTAATGAACACTACACAGTAATGTATATTTGAGGTCAATGGCCATGATAGTCGTACTACATAGCGAATTAAATCGCAACTCAGCGGCTAAATGATTAACGCATTCGCGGCGAGACCTGAAGATCCTTAGTTTGATCCATGAAAGGAGAGGTCATAGGTGTGTCCCGCTGAGAAGGCACACTCCAGGACAAAATAGCTATCCACTGCTCCAATCGATGTCAACCCGTGATGATGAATACCAACTTTAATCACCCTGAAGTTGGGTATCAGTACCAACTGACAAGGATTGGCCAAAGACCGATTGAAAACTAGAGACTACTGAACTTTAACAGCCAATAAATCAAAGAAGGGGGATCCAAACTTATGTCGGTGTAACTAGATGATGGATGTCATGAATCGAATGAAACTGAGGTTTATCAAGCAATAAGCTGTAAACTGAGCTCAATGCGGAAATTCTAAGAGTGCGTAACATCCACTTATCTTAAATCCTATACTGCCATCTTATCTCCTCTTAATTTCAGTGAGATACGTACAGGATTTTCCCTCTAATCCTATTCAGCGATATCTTATAGAGACATATTATGCGCATTTCACTGACTAGGAACATACACCATACGGAAATGAATGAATTTTCATACCTATTGGTAAGTTGTTTCCACAATCAATAGTTTAGATAAACGTGCTCAAGTTACTATGATGCTTAAAAGCGTCTTAGCAACATGACGGATAGTAATACCTAATGGTCTGCAAGTCTAGCAGATTACGAGTGATACGAACCGAAAGCACAGATAAATCGACTCTAAGCGCTAAACAGAACGTCAACCACCACCACAACAGAACCACCGGTCCGCGAAGGCAAGCAGAGAAGACAGACAACGACGGTGTAATACAAGCAATAACACTAAACCTATACCCGTCGCACAAGAAGTGGCTATCATGGCTCTGTGGTGCAGTGGGAAACGCACTGGCGTTTGAAGCGATCACTCCCGAGTCCCGGTGGGAACAACACTCGGCACTGGGAAGCAGGTACATCCGGCTGACGAGTTCCAAGTAGGACGAAATGTGCATCCTAATTCCACTGCTAGCCACTGCCTATCATTACTAAACATAGCTAAAAGACAGGCAATATCGAGGCATCCGCATAGGAGCCCATATGCCAATAGAGACTAATCAATGCGGTCTAATCAACGATGGTGGAATACAAACAATAACACTAATTGTCAAAATTATTTCAAAATACAGTTGAATATATACATTTCTCAATGACCTTGACAACACTAAATTCACATATAGTTAACAACCAATGAGAGTTCAGCCTTGAAAGCAGAGGGGAGAGAAACTAGTAACAATGTGAAAACAGCCATGTGGGTCATTTTAATATCATGGGCAAAAAAGCAGATAAGATTATGCAGAAATATATCACAATTTTTATTGATACGGGATGATGTTTGAGGTTAGAATGAAAATCTGAGCAGCAGTAGGATTCGAACAAGCAACCTCTACGTTATTCACCGGCTGCTTCACTACAACTGACTTTTAGTACCTACATGTCACAGTGCTGGAAAGGCAAATATATCATGAAAAGTCTACATGTAGGATCTTAGATATTTTTGGAGGTGCTATTGTTAAGTTCCATATCTTCTCATTCAAGCTAGAGTTGGTTTTAATGGGAATTTATTCCAAGTAAAGTGGATGGGAAACATTTTCCAGATATTTAGTAAACACTATTCACTTCAGTGTTTTATACGAAAGTATTATGCGCTTATGAATTGCAGTACTGAACCGGAATGAGTGATGAAATACTTCTCACATCAAGTTGTAGGTGTTTTCAACTCGAGAAACTATTCCACATTTTTCACGTTCAACATCTTGATGGTATGCAAGAGCGAATTCATCTAAGAGAAGTGAAATGACTACGATGTAAATGAATAATGTTGGATTTGCTAAGCCGCGTATGTATGAAATAGTTTCTCGGCTTTTTGAACCTTCTCCACCCATACTCGAAGATTACGTCGAAGTGTTATGGTCATCTTAGTGTGTTAATCACTTCTATTCATTGTAACCACCACAAAAATGGTCTTTACACAACAATCAGACACACTGTATGCCAACGAAAGTATAGTAAGATCTCCTAAACTTACTCACCTAAGAATACGGTTTATTGCAGCTTGTTTTAGGTAATGAGAATATACGGCTGACTGACTGATACCGACCTCCTTCTGTCAATGCTTCCCTGGTGTCGGTTGTAGATTGAAAACCGTAGCAGTGAAGTCTCTAGTTTCAAGGATGAGTTACACAAATTAAAATACCTTTATTGGTCTCTAGAGGGCAACCATTTTCATGTTATCTGGTCCTGAGTGCTACCGCGAATTCCATCAAACATTTTGCAATGTGTTAGGAATCTTACTATCGCGGTAGACTATGGTGGATGTTAGTTGGTTGGAGTTAATAGGCAGGTAACTCAACCACACCTAACTTTCCTTCTTTCTGGCACTCATCAGCAAGATATGCATAGAAGATCCCGGAACGAATTGACATCCCCCTGTGAAATTTCAACCATTGTCATTCAATGTTACAGTCAGTTACGTTACCACTGAGTTATTCCTGTAACAAATGACCTCCTGAATGTGTAGATTAGATATATTGGTTGGTAATCAGTAGCCAACCAATTTCATATTGAAAAAAGAGTAACTGGACAAAAAGATGTATATTCCTTTTCAATTAGGTAGTCGTCTTCAGCAGTACTTTTATATTTCTCCAGGTTGATAATCCACTCAAAATACCAATCAAACAGTGGTGGTCATCAACGGTTGATAAACAATAATCATGGAGACTTTAAGTAGATAATGAAGATGATCAGTTTGAGAGATTAAGAAGCAAACAATCCATAGAGTAACTAATAAATTGGTAATGTACGAAGAAGGTTATTCTCACGTGAATGGAGTGAGTTTGATGAGTGTTCAATCGTAAACAATAAATAATAGTTACATAATGATAAGAAAACAAGTGAGTATTGATAGAAACAAGAGGGGTGTGGGTGGGAATAGATGTACAAAGCAAAGCCTAGAAGTTACATCATGTTGTGATGGTGGTCACAATAATGAAAGGTGGTTGAACAAACTTCGTTGGAATACAGAGGCTAGGTTTGTTTGTTTGTTTGTTTGTGAAGGTGTGGATTGTAATCACCTCTGCTATGTGAAGTAATCGAGTGTATAATCCATATGGTAAATAGATTGGGATGTGATGAATAGTTTTGAATGCTTTCCTAGTATCTTCTCGATGTCTTGTGTCAACTGTGTGTGTAAGTATGGAGCTATTTATTGTTGTAATTTGTTCCTTGGTCAACTATTATGGGTGGTGCTCAGAAATTCGACGATGGTCCTGCCTCATTGTTCATCCAATGTAACTAGGTCCACAGGAGCAGTTGAATTGATAAATGCACATAGAAGTGGCAAAATCAGGCAGTTTGTCTTTATTTCTTGCATGTAGAATCGCGCGGTTATGGAAGAAGGGACATAGTTTAGTGGCTGGGAATGCTTTCTTCCAGACTCTTTTTATGCGTTGTGTGATGTTCTTACTGACAATGTCAGTCTTAAATTTCAGCTTCAAGAGGTTTTTCTGCTTAGAAACTGTTGGTTTTCTTGTCTTAACCCTCGTGACATTCATATGCTTCGTTACAAAGTTGGCGGGATAGCCATTCGTACTAAGTAGGTCAAGGATGGTAGTGGACTCTTCCTCCATAGCATCCTCTGAGTAAATAGCTGTGGCGCCGTATAAAAGACATTTCACCAGTTCCCTTTTGTATTGGAAGGGTAGGATACTGAAGAAGTGCATGTATTGGGCTGTGGATGTCGGTTTTCTACACATACTTCGTCTCAGAGTTCTATCTAAGCTTCTTACCAGGAGAGGATTAAGAAATGGAGATACTGTTATTTTTCTCCTCTTCCATTGTGAAGCTGATTGCCGGATGAGCACTATTGAACTGACTGAGAACAGCAATGTTATGAGTCTCACTTTTCAGAAGTATAAAGTATCGTTCATGTAACGACAATAGAATTGTAACCGGCTTAAAGTTTCGTTGAGCGGACCATTCTCTAGTTTTGCTAGAAAAAATCTGCTAAGAGTGGGCCAAGGAGTGACTTTATAGCTACACCATCAGATTACTGGTAGAGTTTATTGTTGAAAACAAATTGTGCATTCATTGTACACCTCAGTAGTAGTTTTTTCAGTGTGGAGACTGGAATATCTATTTGCATGCCGTGCTTAATAAGTTCTTTGCAAATAAAATCTACCGTTTCCATTGAAGGAACGTTGGGCGAACAATGAGGCAGGACCATCGTCGAATTTCTGAGCACCACCCATAATAGTTGACCAAGGAACAAATTACAACAATAAATAGCTCCATACTTACACACACAGTTGACACAAGACATCGAGAAGATACTAGGAAAGCATTCAAAACTATTCATCACATCCCAATCTATTTACCATATGGATTATACACTCGATTACTTCACATAGCAGAGGTGATTACAATCCACACCTTCACAAACAAACAAACAAACAAACCTAGCCTCTGTATTCCAACGAAGTTTGTTCAACCACCTTTCATTATTGTGACCACCATCACAACATGATGTAACTTCTAGGCTTTGCTTTGTACATCTATTCCCACCCACACCCCTCTTGTTTCTATCAATACTCACTTGTTTTCTTATCATTATGTAACTATTATTTATTGTTTACGATTGAACACTCATCAAACTCACTCCATTCACGTGAGAATAACCTTCTTCGTACATTACCAATTTATTAGTTACTCTATGGATTGTTTGCTTCTTAATCTCTCAAACTGATCATCTTCATTATCTACTTAAAGTCTCCATGATTATTGTTTATCAACCGTTGATGACCACCACTGTTTGATTGGTATTTTGAGTGGATTATCAACCTGGAGAAATATAAAAGTACTGCTGAAGACGACTACCTAATTGAAAAGGAATATACATCTTTTTGTCCAGTTACTCTTTTTTCAATATGAAATTGGTTGGCTACTGATTACCAACCAATATATCTAATCTACACATTCAGGAGGTCATTTGTTACAGGAATAACTCAGTGGTAACGTAACTGACTGTAACATTGAATGACAATGGTTGAAATTTCACAGGGGGATGTCAATTCGTTCCGGGATCTTCTATGCATATCTTGCTGATGAGTGCCAGAAAGAAGGAAAGTTAGGTGTGGTTGAGTTACCTGCCTATTAACTCCAACCAACTAACATCCACCATAGTCTACCGCGATAGTAAGATTCCTAACACATTGCAAAATGTTTGATGGAATTCGCGGTAGCACTCAGGACCAGATAACATGAAAATGGTTGCCCTCTAGAGACCAATAAAGGTATCTTAATTTGTGTAACTCATCCTTGAAACTAGAGACTTCACTGCTATGGTTTTCAATCTACAACCGACACCAGGGAAGCATTGACAGAAGGAGGTCGGTATCAGTCAATCAGCCGTATATTCTCATTACCTAAAACAAGCTGCAATAAACTGTATTCTTAGGTGAGTAAGTTTAGGAGATCTTACTATACTTTCGTTGGCATACAGTGTGTCTGATTGTTGTGTAAAGACCATTTTTGTGGTGGTTACAATGAACAGAAGTGATTAACACACTAAGATGACCATAACACTTCGACGTAATCTTCGAGTATGGGTGGAGAAGGTTCAAAAAGCCGAGAAACTATTTCATACATACGCGGCTTAGCAAATCCAACATTATTCATTTACATCGTAATCATTTCACTTCTCTAAGATGAATTCGCTCTTGCATACCATCAAGATGTTGAACGTGAAAAGTGTGGAATAGTTTCTCGAGTTGAAAACACCTACAACTTGATGTGAGAAGTATTTCATCACTCATTCCGGTTCAGTACTGCACTTCATAAGCGCACAATACTTTTGTATAAAACACTGAAGTGAATAGTGTTTACTAAATATCTGGAAAATGTTTCCCATCCACTTTACTTGGAATAAATTCCCATTAAAACCAACTCTAGCTTGAATGAGAAGATATGGAACTTAGCAATTGCATCTTTACCGAATCAATCCTCCTTCTAAATGTCTAAATGGGAGTATTCAATGTAGTTTTTCATGTTATCTGGCCGTTAGGGCTGTTGCGATTTCCGTCGTCACACTAGACAGTTCATCATCGTTGTCTGCATACACACACTGATTAGCGTCAAACATGTAATTCGTTTGCTGATAGTAATGCACATCTCATCCATTGACTATAACTGAACACTTGTATAACTTGACTTGCAATTAAGCAGATCTCTACCGGTAAATTTATTCCTCAGTCGTCTTTAGGCTCAACTTACCTCTGTATTTTTTCAGTGATCTTCGTCTAACCACCTGTAGAAATGTTATAACAAAGTGAAGGTTAATGATCAGAAGAGTCTGAAGATCGAAATTTGCAGGTAGGTGGGTTAAGTTTCAAATAAGTTGCATTCCTGCTTATGGTGAGAAAGCATAGTCCCAGTGTTTCAGTCTACTAGGATAAGTCAAAGGTTGAGTGTGTTGAACAAAGCTGATGATAAATGACACTCAAGAAGACGGCTATTATTGAGGTGTACACGTTGGTTTGACAGTGGGCAAACTGGATCCCATCTACTATATGAAAATGTAACGATTAGGTGTCAGTAATCTTTCCTCTACCTTGTGGGTACGTTGTTGCAGAAGAGGAGCAGATCAGCGAAATTAAAAGTAGTTGAGTAAGGTTTCAAAACCCTTGCCTTATCATATTTAAAAAAAAATGATCATTTCTAGTTGAACAACCAAACATTCTTCTGTCTTAGGAAGGAAGGTTGAATGTGATCAAGTTTCTTATTCTGGAAGACTTTTCAAAGGATCACTTTATATAGCTAACACCACCACAAAACAACATTGTATCTCATTGGATAGATCACTTGATCGATAGTTTACAAGTTGTGAATCCAAATTTTCCGGTCGACTACATTCTCTACATGTAGCTTTCACAATCTCAATTGTTGATTGGACCGAAACGACCTGTCACTGTTAGCTTATGTGCTCCTGTGTGGATGCCACAATATTGCCTATATTTTTTTTTTAATTTTGACATTAATGATTGTTAGTGGTTAACAGGGGAATCCAGGATGTGCGTTTCGTCCTGATCGAGATTCATCAGCTGGATTTATCTGCCTCCTAGTGAGTGATGTGCCCCCCCCCCCCCGAAATGAAACTCGCTTCAAATGCCAGGATGTTATCCTTTAGGCAAATGGGTTACGACGGCCATTCTTTGTGCTCTGGCGTTTGAAGCTATCGGTCGTAGGGTCGAGTCTTAATGAGGACCGTATCCAGCTGAAAAGTCCTAAACAGGACGAAACACAGGACCTGAATTCCGCTATTAACCACTATTCCTCAAGTAAGGTGACATCATGAAATTTGTTTTAAATCAATCTTGTTTCGTTTTTTCTTTTGGTGCTTTTGCTGCCGCTGATGATGATAATGATGACAAAACAACCGCATAATCCGTTAATTCTGAAACCTTTATAACGAAAAATCATATTTTACTGTATAAAGGATGTGCATTTGTAAAGTTCTCTACACAACAAGAAGCTCAATCCGCTATTCTAACGTTACACGGAAGTCAGACAATGCCGGTAAGTCCTCATATTTATGTGCGTGTGTGAAGGGGTGGGAGATACTAGTGTGTGTGTGTGTGTCATAGAAGGGAATGACAGTGTTTCTTACATGTAAACTAGAGGTAGATGCTGGTATTTGCCAACACTTCAGCCAAGAATATATGATTATTATTTATTATTTGTCTCTTGGGTTCCTAGTGGAACGTAGGGATTCAGTAGCACATCACCATTTTACTCTCTTCTCTCCAGTCTTTTCAACCTGTCTCCACAACTCCCCATAACATTTCATTTCTTCCTCACACTATCTCATTCATGCCACACGACCTCGGATGCCCAATCAATTCATCCTTCCCTATTCCGGTTCAACTCGACGACCTGGCCTCATGCATGATGTCCCCAAACCGTCTTCTCACTCTATGTCCAATCCAATCCAACCCACCTCCAATTTCTTCTTCTGCATATCTATTCATCGATAGGTTCTTGCTTGGTTCGTTGGTTTGTTGCCAGATCAGAGGTCCTCCTTCCTTATTCTTATTATTCTCGCCATCTCATCTCCATCTTCACTATCGAGCAACAAGAGGCGGTAGCTGTTCATGTATGATGTCTACAGTTTGTTGGAAATGCATTTCATAACACGCCAACTCTCTCAACCAACACATAGAAGCACAGACTTGACTGACATTAGTGGTACTAAAAATCTGGATCTCGTTCATGCTTTATGCTGAGTGCAGTGCAGTGCAGTGCAGCACAGTAGATCTCCACACTGATTTCAGGTCAAAAGTCAATCAAAGGAAAAGCCAACTGAAGTTACTGCTGTTGGTTATGTTGTCTATATAGACGATGAAAGCTGCAGTATTCAATAACCTAGCTCAGAGAACACAATGCAACCAAGACTATCCGCTTGAGCTACAAATATTCTCCAATACCTTTAAATTAAAAATCCCCCTTTACCTCAAAAATGGGATAATTGCCAAATAAATTTGACTTCCTAGACTGGTCTTTATCTTCTGATTTTCACGGTTTATTAAAGTATCAGGTTTTGAAGAAGAATAGTCACTTTTCCTACCCGGTCTAAACGTCTCACTGCATTATTATCGTTTCGTTTTTTTTTTACTATTATCCACTGCAGTCACATTGAGAGGTCAAGAAACATCAGAACTGATATCTAGAAGAAGAGATTGTTTTCAGATGGCAACCATATTGTGAAATGTTTAGTATTTTTAACGATTATCGGTTATATTTTCTTAGTCGACAGTATATGCTGCTTCTTCCGTCTTCTATCCTGTACCAATACCCGTTTTATCTTGACAAAAGTCTAGTTAAACTGACATGAATATTTACGGATAATGTTACTGATGATTCATGAACTAAGCTCTAAGTGTCTGTCTGTCTGTATGCCTGTCTGCCTTCAACTAAAAGTGAACACATTAGCCTAGTTAGTATCTAACTCAATCGATTCCCTGATTGCATTATCAAAACTATTCAAGATAAGATATACTTTTGAATTAGTGTGTTTTACATTCTATTCATTGTTTAATGTATACAAATTTCCTTTTCATAAACCTGTATGCCTTGTTCATGACAACAGGGTGCTTCGTCAAGTATTGTTGTGAAATTTGCTGACAGTGAAAAAGAACGTCATACAAGAAAAATTCAACAGTTGATCGGTCCTATGGGTTTGTTCAATCCAACCATAGCTTTATCACAAATCAATGGAAATATGTATTCTCAAATGTTGGAGGTAAGTTGACCCAGTAATTATCATTTTGTTTTGTGTTTACGAAATGAATTTCTGTTCATCTGTACATATATATATATATATATATATATATATATATATATATATATATATATATACATAAATTAAGGATCTTTGAGTAACCTACTTAATAAAGTGTTTAGACTATGGTTACTATTTGTCCCTCGGGTTCCTAGTGGAACATACAGCTCCAGTAGCACATCTTTATTGCACTCTCTTCTCTAAACTCTTTTCAGCCTGACTCCACGACTGCCCACAACCTCTCATTTCTTCCTCACATCATCGCCTCCATGTCACCCTCACCCCAGACGCCTAACTCATCGTCTCCCATTGCGGTTCCACTCGAGGGCCTGGTCTGACGCATGATGTCCCCAGTCGGCCTTCTCAGTGTATGCCCAATCCATCTCCATTTCCTTCCACTGCATATTTGTTGAGTGATAGCTTCTTGCTTCGTTGGTTCGTTGCCAGCCAGCCAGCCAGCCAGCCAGCCAGCCAGCCAGCCAGCCAGAGTTCTTTGTTGCTTATTCTTATTATTCTGGCCATCTGAGCTTCGGTGACGAGCCAGCATAGGCAGTTGTTGATGCATGTCTGGAGTTTGTTGGAAATGCTTTTCGTAATGCACCGCCAAGTCTCTCAACCATCACCTAGCAACACTGACTTGACTGAATTAGTGTTGAGAATCTGGATGTTATTCACGCTTTATGCTGAGTGCAGTGCAGAAGATCTCCATATCTATTCGGTATGGCAGCAGAATGATTTTGTGAATATCAACCTTCATGAATGACTCAGATAATTGACTCAGTCTTTATTGATTTAATTTCTAGCCTAATACACATGGATTAAAATAACTAATCGATAAAAGTCTGTTATAGCCTGATGAATCTTTATTCCTATTGGCTAATACTGTTGACAAGGTCATCCAATCGCATTCTACCTTATATTATATTTTTAGGTTGATAGGGATTTCATTTTTTAAAATACTATTCATCACAAACTGACTGAGAACAGTTAGAGAAGTGTTGAAGATCAGGAAACATTCGCCGTGAAACCCATAAATCCTGGATTCTATCCATAATGAGATCACATATCCACACTGCTGGAGAGTCCGATAATGGGGTGAAACATTTGTACAGCGTTTCATAGTTTTCTTTAACTGATATCAGTCTGAAAAATACCAACTTGGAGTCAATACACTACTTTGTTTCTTTATATTACAGAATATGGCTCAAACAACAGGTTATATAAATCCAGTCGCAGCACTAGCACTACAACTTCAACATGCCAGTCAGTTGGCTACTGTTAACTTACCAAACAATGTCTCCAACCTAGCTATGATATCAGCATTGACCAACAGCTCCAGTGGACATCTTGGTTGTGGTCCATTATTGCATAATCCACGTTCAGGTGCTATATGTCATGCTAATCCAATGGCCACAGCTGCAGCTGTACTTGGCCTATCAACAGGTAATCCACAACTGACTCAAATGTCGCCTCAACTTGCAGCTTTGACAAGTGTGAACAATACATGTGTTACAGGAGAAGTTGGAAATGGTAATAATAATAATAACAATTCTAATACAAGTGGGAATTCTGCTGCTGCTGCAGCTGCTGCCGCTGCCGCTGCAGCCGCTGGACTTAGTACAAATGCAGCAATGGCAGCAGCAGCTGCAGCTGTTGTTGCTATGGCAAACGGAAATATGACAGGAAATGTAAACTCAAATGGAACAGGAAATGGTTTAACTGGACAAACAATGAGCTTAGGATCTCCTGGAGCTGGTGGCCCTACACTAACTTTACATACAATTCCAGGTACGCATACACCTTCAGCTACGCTTAGTAATCTTGGAAATGTATCTCTACCGCTAAATCAAGCAAGTAAGTTAATCTTTATCAAACATTCTATCAAATCTTTTATTTTAATATTTAAATATTGACCAGTCCCCAGTTTCAGTCCACATGGAAGCAACATCAACTAGGTAGGAGTCAAGTACATTGGACTGATGAGTCCAAAATAGGATGAAATACGCATCCTGTGCTCAACCATACAATAGGGTGGGATAGAATCACCCTGCTTAGATTTATTACAGTTAGGTGGAGAGAGACAGAGAGAGATTGATTACTGAATCTTTGAGGTGATCAGACCGTTCAAAGACTAGATGATACACGTTGCTATCACATATGTCTATAAATTGCCACTTTAACATCTAATATTGTTGAATTCATTCCCTTTTGTAAGCATAAACCTGTCATGTAAATTTTTCTAAAGTTTTCTGCAACCTTTATCATATTTGGTTGTATCTTATAGGAAAGCGTTCTGTACCCTTAATTTATTTGATGAACATCTTTCAATGTCAGCCAATCAGAGCTCAACTTTAAACAACCAATAGAAATTGAGTATGCCTAATTGACCGAGAAATCTTAAAATGATCTCTCGTATTTTAATATAAACTTGATTTTACATTTGCACTGGAGGTTAACTGATGTTTTCTTGTTATTATTCACTGAAAACCATCTGAGTAACTGGTTATGTATTCACTCACAAAGGAATTAAGGGGATTACGAGATTACCTGACTGACTTAATGTAAAATGTTAAATCTTGGTTTCATTGTTTTCTCTGAGCTGGGTTGTTTAGTCGTGAAACTTTCATCGTCCTTCTAGACAACATCATTTAGGTTAGTCAGTCAGCAATCAACAGATGTATAGACATGGGTCCAATCTATCGACCAATAAGAAAAATGATGAACGATAGAAAGGTGAGAGGTCAAGCAGAGAGACAGCCAATAGGAAAATCTATACAGTCAATGACACAACAATCAAAGGAAACAACCAGTCACAGATCGCTTCGTCAAGGCAAGCTACTAAATCGCTCATGGAGAGATATTGACAGCTCTCTTCATACTGAAGTTAGTGGTGATGATGTCGTCCAGGAGAAAGACAATGAAAGCTTCATGATTAAACAACCCAGCTCAGAGTACACAATACAACCAAGACCATCTACTTGAGCTACAAATATTCTCCACTATTTCAAAATGTAAAATACTGGTGACTACAATAGTTGAAGAGTGACTGTTAAACATTCAAAGTAACTTAAAAGATCACTCTAACAAAACCTAAAATGACCAATCAGATTTAAGTATTTCCCATGGGGTGATAGATTTTTATGAAGTGAAATAATCTGATTGGTTATTTTAAGCAACTACTAGGCTGGTCTTTAGAGTCACTCAAAATTCAACTTAAATGTTAATCTTCACTATTATTTCTGATATTGACACTTTTTCCCCCTTTATTCTTCTCCGTGTTATGTGGTCCCGATAAACAGTTTCAAACGCATCCTTTGGACTGAACACACTGACATCCCCATTGGCTGGAATTCCTACAGATGCACTCTCCCATCTTTATCCCAGTGTTCCAACATATGGATTACGTAAGTATTTCTAAACGAATTGTTTACTGATACATTTCATAGATATTTTCACTATTCTAGGGTGGTATTCATCAGACAGTGACATCAGTTGGGGAGGCAGTGACACTCGTTTTATTCTTGTACACAACTCCTTAGGAGTATCCACCTACGACCCCATGAAAACTGAAGCCCGGGACACCGAAGTCTTGTCATGTACACGTCAATTTCTAGCAAAAGGATCAGAATCTCGAGGTCATGGCACCTTTGTTTCGGAGATCATAAGATGTGAACTTTGTAGTTTCCAACGGAAACTCTGTTGACACCACCACTGGCTTAGCCCCAGACCGCCGAGACGAACATCCGGTGCAGTAATTGGATTACTGTGGTCTGACTGGCTGGCTGGCTGGCTGGCTGGCTGGCTGGCTGGCTGGCTGGCTGGCTGGCTGGCTGGCTGGCTGGCTGGCTGGCTGGCTGGCTGGCTGGCTGGCTGGCTGGCTGGCTGGCTGGCTGGCTGGCTGGCTGGCTGGCTGGAGAAATTAAATCTACATATCAGCCTGAGTAGGCATCTAACTACTCAAATTGTCCAGTAGTATACTTCAGACTCATGTTAGAATGGAGTTTGGAAATTCGTAAGTTTGTTTACTAAGAGACGCAGATACTAAAAGTAGTTATTTCACTTAAACCAAGTCAAGTATACACTCAACAACCTCGCTGTGATCTGTCTCCATCACCAGTATAATTACGAATTTTCCACTTGTCCTTATACAAGGTGGTAGGTGGTATTCTTAGAGTGTTCATGATGCAAAAGTCAGCAAAATCCCGACAGAATCTTTGTCATTCATACAGCGTGATGGTTGAAGGTGAAATAAAAGCCTAGGTCCCGAGTATAACACCTAGGCAAATCTTTCTTGTGACCCAGTCGTCAGAGATCTGAGCTAGTTGTCTGGAAGTCCTTGGTTAGAATCCCACCGCAGCCTTTGTTACCATTTCGCTGATAATCATCACTTTGTATCAGTAATATCAACCGGCCAAACTATGGCTGTTTCAGCTGGTTCTTTACTGACCACTATATGCAGAAGAGAAAAGACTTGATGATGACGATATCATTACTTGTGGCTGTCGTGACTCAGGAACCTAGTGGATGAAGCTTCGGGATTTGAAGCGGTCTCTTCACCGCTCGAGTCTCTGGGGGAACAGGATCACTCAGTGGGAGGTGAATACACCCAACTGATGAGCCCAAAATAGTAGGAAATGTCCAACCTGCATTCAACAGTTTCAAGTATGCAAAACAAACTGAAGGTATCAAGTTGATTCCCTTCACAAAATGATATCAATTGAAGACGTACTGGACAGCCATTTCGTCCTAGTATATGGCTCCTCAACAGTGCGCACCAACCACCCCACCAGATACTGGACCTATGATTTTCGTGATAAATTTTTAGAGTAGTTTTCCTCAAAACCATATGCATGATTAAGTTTTGAAGTCTATTTGTGAAAAGAACAATTGATAATAAAATCCAGTGTGAGCTTTCCCCCCTCCCCATTCGGAAGTTACCATCTGAATGGATCAGTATCCTAATATGATGGCGTTTCCACTGAGATATAGATGCAGCAGTCATCTCTTCAGATGCTCGAATGATATCCACTTAGTCATCAAAACACAACTATCACTTTAGCACGATGGCCACTGATAGTTATTTGTCTTCAGTTAACCGGGTGAAATTGTCGGTATGTGTGGTGGAGTATTACCTGTTTCTGTGACAGAAGTTACGTGCAGATCACAGGTTTTGAAATGTGAATGGAAATCAATGTTTTAAATCACCAGACGCTAAGGTAGAAGTCTTTGAATTTCAATTTTTGTTTCATGTTACTGTATGGTCAAGAAAAACCATTATTGGTCAATTTTATCCTGCAGTCAACCAATCATAATAATCTATTTAACTTCTGACCTAGTGGCTTTGTATTGTTTATGAAAACTATTGTATAAAATGAAGTATTTTTTTGTCGTATACAATGATTTCCTCACAGCTATAGGTCGGTATTCACCTTCTAATCCAGTCCAAGTGCCTCATCATGTTAACATCCTTCATATGAGAACTATTATGTAGTTGTTTGGATGCTGAAAAGTGCCAACAAACACGAAACCTACGTCCACGGCTCCCTATCGATCACCTCTAATCAATCAAACTAACATTCATCAAAGTCCACCAGTACAGTGATAATCAGCCTCCTAACTTGATGGCCAGCCAAAGTGCAAAATGATACGTAGAACTCAGTCAATACTCAAGAGTGGAACATTAAAAATTGGTTGACGTCCAGTGACTGTACTATCGTGTAGTAAAGTTTCATCTTAGTTCGTTAGTGAAATTGAAGATCAAAACGTCTTTGGTATCAATGACTGATGAATGTTCTTTTGAACCAAAACAGATTTTCGATTAGATGATACCATGACATATTGAAATGATAATGAATTTTAAGATATATCTAGTAGGATTTATCGTAATTCGTTTTAAGGCTTTTCGGAACTAACTGTCTGAGGCCTTAAAAAAAACTCCTACTGAACTCAAGGCCATTCGTTTGACAGTTGTTAAACTGTGGTAAGGAGTAGACCTATAGACTTTCACCGACCTTGAGTGATTGCAGAAATGACCTCGAAGTGACCAATTCGGTTGAATGCAAGTGTATAAATTATTAAAACAATGCGATTAGTTTATACATAGGCCTATGCGCAAATTTTGCTAATGATAATTTCGAGTGAATCAAGCAGAATTATTTCTGATATTATCGTCTTGGACTACATACTAATTCTGAAGGGTTTTTTCCACAAAAGACAAAATCATGGACAACAAATTCATGCTAGAATATGCCTTAATATTAGTTTGTACAACCTACTAACGATACAAACTTAACACGCAACAAATCGACTCTGATGCAAATCAGAACGTTAACCACCACAACAACAATATTAACTACCAGGGAAGACAAGCCGTTGACAGAGATAGTGAATATATATGTATTTCTAAATGACCTTGACAACACTAAATCCACATATAGTCAATAACCAATGGGAGTTCAACCTTGAAAGCAGAGGGGGAGAAAAACTAGTAATAGTGTGAAAACAGCTCCGCAGGTTATTTTAAGGTCATGGGCAAAACAGTAGACAAAGCTATACAACTGCTGGATTAAAAATTAAACAGAAATAGGCATTTTTTGCCTTCAAGGCCAGTCAAGGATGGCTAAATTCTATGGTTGCACTTCAATAAACTGTCATGTAGTTTAACTGACAACTGTGAAGTCTATCACTTTGACGCATTACTCGAGAGACAACTAAGGCAACAGTTGAAAAATAATCAATTAGGTTTCTTCATTCCCATTGGAATGATAACCTTTCACATACCTTATTAGTTGTTTTCAGCAGTTACTAGAGTGGCTTTGAGAGCCAGTAACTCTGATCCTGTAACATGAGTTCGACTTTGTAAACGCCTCATCATCTAATAATCGCTTTCTGTATACTGCTAAGGAGTAGTATGCTGAGACAAAACAACTGTCGAGTGCTGTCCTGATTGGCTTTGATGTAGACGAGGAATAATTAGTGCTGATAGGGTATGATTTAAAATAATTGCTTCTGGATATTCTCTACAAGACATTCAACCTACCAACGTTTAAAGTAATAACTGCTCATCAGGTACGCTTCAAAATCATTTCAATTCCCAATAGAGTTGTAGAGTTATTTTGTGGAAAAAGTGAAGTGAAATTATCCATTCGAAACGATGGATGATGATAGTAGTTGCCATCCTCTTTGAGTTTTGTGGTATTTTCTTATCAATGTTTCATCACTACACTTGATGACATCCCCATTATCACTAGGTCAAACTGGCCAAGGTGTGGCAATGATCTCTTCCATAACTTACAGTTGAACAACACCTAAGGTCAATTTTACGTGTGTGTGTGTGTGTGTGTGTAACACGTGTAGTGATGAAATGTCCATAACAAAATAATCAAATACTCATTGGTTAGCGTTATACTATGAATGAGTGAAATGGAACTTAGTAGTTAAGGCGTCTAACTTAATCATAACCATAATTTCCTTCCAATCTCTATCTATCCTCATCCCTTTTTAACTTATAATATATTAAATTATTGACTTTCATTTGATACTTATTTTGCTAAATTAATTTTCTCTTAGCGTATCCTTCACCGGTTACATCAGCTTTAAATCCATTCGCTTCAATGGCGCATCAAGCACTTACAATGCCTATACAACAAAAAGAAGGCACTAAGGATTTAATTTTAACAGGTAATTATACTGAAGTATCAATCTTACCTATCTATCTATCTATCTTCAAGTATATACATTTGTATTTCCCGCAAAATTAAGTTTGGTTTGACCTTGAGATGTAAAAACAAATTATTACAGATAAACAAAGCGTTTAAAATGGATATATTTCTAGGTGTTTCATTTGAGTCTTACTTTTTTTTACGAATACGGATATGAAGCGTTACTCACTTACATAGTAGGAAATTAATTAGTCAGCACTTTCAATGTCCAATAGTTGTTCAATGCTCAATGCCTCATTTTGATAGGAAAACAATAATATAAACACAAAAGTGTATTTTTAAAGATTACTAGCCTAATTTCTATGAAAATTATTTCTTTTAAGTTGATGAACTTCTCAGTATACATAAATGATTGGTCACTGGAGAGTTTAGTGGTTAGTGTTGACTGAAATCTATCGATTGTTTTGCAGGGTAGCCGGCCATCAAGCTAGGAGACTGATCACTATTGTAGCTATACACTTTGATAAATCTTTGTTTGATTGGTTGAAAGTAATCGATAACAAGTCCTATCAATCATAAATAGATTGATGTATGAAACGTTTTTCATCATGGACAGGCATTAACCTAGATGTTGTGATGATCTTAGTGACTAGCAGAGGAATCCAGCTTGACACATGTTTCATCCATTTTGGGCCTCGTCAGGTGGATGTACCAAGTGATGTTGTTCCAACCAAGGCTCGGACACAGTACCCTTTGCTTCAAATGCCAAACAGTTATCGACTAAACTACTGGGTCCCAATCGTCAGACGAAACCAACCTATTGAACATAGTTTGTTAGTTTATCAGTTAAAATGCCTGAATATAATCAAAATTAATGCAGATCTATCCATTTGAGCTTTAGATAATTTCCATTCTATTGATTAGATGACTATTGAAAATTTTAAACCGCCTATGCTCGAAATATCCAGTGTGATTATGTAAGAGGGCACGGTGGATACTGAAAATGTATATCATATAAAATAGTTTACAGAGAAGTCATACCGTTAGCTTATCAGTCATAGACTTCTCTAATCGCTTAAGATTTGACATCTCTGTTGGTTAACATTCGGTCCAAAGAATAGCTAGTTGTCAATTAAATATCTTAATGATAATATTCACGCTTCTTATGCTCTGAATGACTCAGATTCGAGTCTTAGATTTGTAAGGTGGTTATATCAGCCGAAAAGTGAAAAATGTGAATCTCCCCATATAAGTGTTGTCATTCACACTGTATTATCTTAGTTATCTATAAAGAGGCATTTTATACATGACTTAATTGTTGGTAACATTATTGGATAGCTCCCTTAATTCGTGAGCTCTCGACTGATCCTTCCCCTCTCCCCACCTACCTCATCCCTTCGTAAATACTTAGTGCAGTATGTTCAGTGGAATTAATCGATAATTGCACGTTATCGTATCCTTGAAGTTGATTGGTTTTTTCATGGTGCATTGTGATCAGATAATTTGATTATATGTATACACAGACAAAGTAGATCGGTGGAAATGGAAGTGTACAATAAGTGGATTAAACTTTGTGTTCTGTTTTAATCAGTTGTAGAGGAGGACTAAATTCATTACTGATAATGTGGATGGATTGAGTTGAGTATATGAGACTGATCAAGTATAATCGAGATGAATCATATGCCAAGTTATCATGAAGACTCAGTCAGCAGAATCACGTGTTATAGTGTACTCATAACCCATAAGCTATATCTGAAACGTCCTAGGAACTGGTGCTGTCTCCTAAACAGCTCATTACTAACATACTTAACTACAGTACTAGGATTAGGCTGTTCAAATCTCTCGGAAAGTATGCATACTTAAACATGTTGTCACTTTGTTTGACTGTAATTGTCTTAAACATATGATTCTCCCAATTCGGTCTTCATGATAACTTGGCATATGATTCATCTCGATTATACTTGATCAGTCTCATATACTCAACTCAATCCATCCACATTATCAGTAATGAATTTAGTCCTCCTCTACAACTGATTAAAACAGAACACAAAGTCTAATCCACTTATTGTACATTTCCATTTCCACCGATCTACTTTAACTATGTATACATATAACCAAATTATCTGATCACAATGCACCATGAAAGAACCAATCAACTTCAAGGATACGATAACGTGCAATTATCGATTAATTCCACTGAACATGCTGCACTATGTATTTACGAAGGGATGAGGTAGGTGGGGAGAGGGGAAGGATCAGTCGATAGCTCACGAACTGAGGGAGCTATCCAATAATGTTACCAACAATTAAGTCATGTATAAAATGCCTCTTTATAGATAACTAAGATAATACACTGTGAATGACAACACTTATGTGGGAAGATTCACATTTTTCACTTTTCGGTTGATAAAACAAAACCAAAAAAATGCAGTTTAATGTAGATCATTGCGAAAGAAATACTGTAAAACAACCATATTTGAATTATACTGTAGCTTATTCACAGTAACTTTCATTGTATCACACTACTAATATGGAGAATTAAGTAGTTTCTTTACATGATGCTTACCATCTCTAAAATATTCCACCTTCATTATTGATCTTCTTTCTCTAAACCAATTGTTTTACTGACAGTAACTATTCTCACTGTGATCTTCACCTTCAATCTTTGTAAAGTTAGGCTTCAGTGGAAATTAGAAGATACCTTTCGTACTATTTAGAACTCATCAAACTGCCCCTGACCTAACTGTAACCAGAACCTGGGACTGATTACTTCAAATGCTAACTGCGTCATACACTAGCCACTGCCCACCCTTACTATTTTAGTGGACGCTGCTGATCAGAATGGATATAAGTAGTATTTATGTTGAGAGGGTGGCAACATCCATAGGGAATTACCAGCAGTGGGTAAGGATTCTGTCAAAGGAAAGGCAAGAGACATTGTGGCCGTATTAAGAGGAAATCAAGAGAGAAGTAGAAAAGGAAATGAAGCACAATGTTTCATCACCACTGTACAAAATGCCGATAATAAGCATTCCTTCCCTCGTCCCAATCTTCTCGTTTCCTACAATTGGTGTCGCTGCTTCTGGACGTGATGAAGATCCCGTGGCCTGCAGAGTTTAAGGTTGGAGACACCAGGGTCTTCCTTAGGGACTGGTGCGTGTCCGGGATCCAGGAGCAAAGGTCATGGTGCTTGGTACGTTGCTGAGAGGTAGAGCGAAAGCGATATATGACGCCATGGAACTTGTGGATGGGAAGGGGACTTGGAAGAGAATGGTTGAACGACTGGAGGCGCAGTTTGACAGCCTAGTGGACAGGGAGCTGGTGGAACTTGGAATAGACGAAGAACCTCTGGTATTGGCTGTGAAGCTGACTAAACTACATCGACGAGCACTTCCTACTTTGGATGAAGACTCCGAGGAGCAGTTGCTGGCTGTACAATTCACAGAAAGTGTCCCGAATGCCATCGCCCAGCACCTATGGCTAGTGAACGCAGCCCAACTCATGGATGTTAGTGAGCTGGTCAAGGTCACCAGATAATTAGTGGGCACAGTAGTAGCTACCATGGAGTCACCAGAGGTAGATGATCGTAGAATGCCACAAGACGCACACGAAGAAAGGAATGTTTATTATTGACATTTTATACAGTAGTTATCATGGTGCAGAATCATGTTCCTGTCCACCTCAGGCTAATATTAGGCTTCATCATCCTGGAGAGACTAAAAGATGTGCTGGATTCAAAACTACGATCAGAACAGCCTGGATTCAGGAAGTACGAATCATATGCGGATCAAATTGCAATGTTATGAATCATCATAGAACAGAGCGTAGAATGACAGTCAACTGGATCTCTACCTCAACTTCATCGATTTTGAAAAGGCCTTTGACAGCGTCGACCGAGAAGTAATGTGGCAACTGCTGCTTCAACACTACGGAATATCACAAACCTTTATCAATCTCATTCAACAACTACATGAAGACACCGGATGCCAAATGATCCACAGTGGAAAGCTCAGTGACACCGTTGAAATGAATACAAGAATGAGACAAGGCTACCTAGTATCACCCATGACATTCCTGATTGTAGTCGACTAGATCATGCAGCAAACCGTGAGGAGCGAGAAGAGGGGGATACGCTGGACCGGGAAAAAGATCCTAGAAGATTTGAATTTCATCGGTGATGATTTATGTCGAATGTCTTGTGGCACAAACTCGAAGATCTACAGGCGAAAACCAACAGGTTGACAGAGGAGGCAGCGAAGACGGGACTTTAAGTGAATGTGGTGAAGCATAGGTGATGAAGATACCCAACTAACAACAGCATCAACAACAAGAGGCACCAATCACCATCAGTAGGAGAAACTTAAAGGACGTAGTGTCTTTCACCTACCTGCCTAGGAGGCAGGATCGTTTCAACTACAGGCGGCATAGACGAGCACGTGAAAGCCAGCCAGGATCGGAAACACAACAAGATAGGCATACCTTCATTAACCTGAAATCAGTGTGGAGATGTTCTGCACTCAGCATAAAGCGTGAATAACACGAATTCAGTCAAGTGAGTCAGTGCTTCGATATGATGGTTCAAAGACTTCGTGCGTTACGAAAAGCTTTTCTAACAAACTACAGATAATCATCAATAACTGCCACCTACGCTGGCTCGTTACTGAAGATCAGATGGATTGAGAGAAAGAATAAACAACAAGGAGCTCTGGCAACGAATCAACCAATAACCTATTACCCAAAAAATATGCTGGCGAAAAAAGTGAAGATGGAATGGGGCACATACTGAGAAGACTATTCAGAGACATCATGCACCGGGCAGTCGAGTGGAACCCAAATGGGAAATGTTGAGTTGGTTGTCTGAGGCAAAGGTGACATGAAGGAAATCGTGTGAATAGGAAATGAGAGCTTGTAGGCTATTGTGGAGGCAGGTTTAAAAGTTTACAGAGAAGAGATTGGAACGGTGACTAGGAAATCAAGGGATAAATAATATATGATAATAATAAGAAGAAGAAGACGTAA